GGGGTGGGGGGGGGGGGGTCAACAACGGCGAATCAGCTGACTGACCTTTCATGGCGACAGAAAAAAAAGTAAGCGCGGGGGTCTACTTAATCTCCAGAGCAGCAGCGGGGTTCGAGACGACTCCGCTCCCCGAAAGAAAGAGACGACACACGTACACAGGTTATCGTCGCGGCTTGCGGGGACAGCAGCAGCCTGGCAGGGAAGTGAGGCGAGAAAAACGCACAGCCCATCGTCTTCAGGCTACCAACCAGAACCACGAGCAGCATCACCACAGACTTCTCCCCCCATTCTTGTGCCCTCGCACGACAGCATCAGTATCACATGTCGTATGCCCGTGGTTGCCTTTGTGTTTGTATAGCTCACTCTCACTCTCACCAGAGCCGAGTGTATCTGCGCCATGGCGTTGTGCAGGCTCTGCTGGCACAGCTGCAACGCGAGGTAGACGAACTCGCCAGCCTCTTCCCGGACGAAGTACCGGACCACGTTCGGGTGCCTTGAAGTTGCCAGCGAGGGGGGGGGGGAAGATGGCAACACCGACGAACGAGTTGGCGCAACAACACGCGTGCAGTGGGGCATACAAGATTGTCAAGAGCCAATAGACACAACGACAGGAACAGACACACATTGACGGCACTAGCGGGTAAAGATAGCAGGAAAATGACGACCCGTGTGACAGGAAGCCCCTCACAAGCGCATGCTACAAAAGCCTCCCAGGCACTTCCTCCCTTCGAGGCGCCAGATTTCTTCCTTCGATTCGGCGATCACATGTCTATCGAGGCTGCACAGGTACACGCGGATGCACGGCGTCGAACGCACCGACTGCAACACCGCCTCGAAACGGGTACGATGATGACGACCAACCAACACAGGCTCCGCCGACGCTGAAAATACGCCCACGTCTCTCCCTAAGGGCTCGATTCAAAACAACATTTCTTACTCCCCCAAGTTCTTGGCACACATATTAACAAATTCAAGGCCGCGCGGCGGCAGAGCAGCAGACAGCTCCGCCCGTCTCTTGGCATGGCTCACCCGTCGGACTCTATGAGCAAGCTGATCTCCCGATCCGCGCGGGCGTGGAAGTCGGTTAGCATCCTCTTCACCGCCACGGGGCGCCCCTCCAGGAGGCCCCTGTAGACGACAGTCCCGTGAGAACCGTACCCCAGAACGGTGTCGGACACGGTCAGGCACCCCACCCGTACCTCGCCCCTCACCCCGCCAGCAGAAGCCACGAGCGAGCCGCCGCCGCCGCCGCCGCCACCCCCCCCCGCAGCACCAGAAGCGGACCCTTCCGACGCGCCGCTGATGCCGCTGTCCGCGGTCGGGTCGTACTCTCCGCCCACCCCGCCGCCGCCCGCCCCGCCGCTGTACAGCGGGTAGCCCCCGAGCCCGGCGCGCTTCAGGTACTGGGCCGCCCTCCGAGAATCCACCACGACCGCCACCACGACGGCGAGCAGCAGGAGGGAGACGAAGCTCCACCCGCGGTAGAGCCAGCCCAGCAGGGACTCGAGGGGGCCCCGCGACGCGGTCGCCAGGGTCAGGTAATTCGGGTCGTCGCCCACGCCGTCCCCCTGGGATGAAGGGCGGGGGAGGCGCCCGATGTACCCGGACGTCGTTCTGACCCCCTTAGGGTCGTGGTTGCCTGGGTGCGTGAGTGGATTGCACGGGAGCACGGAGGCAAAATCGTCGCGGGAGGGAGGGAGGAAGGGACAGTGGGAAATCGGACAATAGATTCCACGACAAAAAAAAACGGATTCTAAATCCATCTGAACGACATGCGTCGGTACACACATCGCCGTCAAAGCATGACGTAAACCGCTATCCCAAAATGGCGACAACAAAACCCTCTCCTAGACCACGTCCGTGTCTATATACACACGCGTTCGCCAATCCAGCGCCTTCGGACGGCAAAGACGCGAAACAAAAACAAAACGACGGACATATCAGGTACCCAGGCTCATGGCTCCGACTGCCTCGTGAAAGGGCCAGACCACCAACGTGCTGAAGCGAGAGCAGAGGCACAGCAGTCCGGACACATCGGTCCGCTGTCAAAGAGCTAAAGGAGATGGATGAAACTACAAGGTGCTGTACACACCTGCGCCGCCTCCGCCACCGCCGCCGTCGAGAGCAGTGCTGCCGCCTGCTTGCGAGCCCATGCCGAGCGACAAGCGTGCCTGCTCTTCTCCCGTAATTTGTTGGACCGTGTGCACACCCACCAGGCAACTCGGAAAGGCTGAGTGCCCCGGCTGGCACCACTTCGGCGGGCAACTCACTACTGCTGCTGCTTCCGTTGCGAAGGAGATGTCGTCGGGAGAGAATGGTGGCGTTAGGATTGTGTTGGGAAGGTTACCGTGGCAAAGATTGGGGAAGGCGTCGACTGCTTGCGATGCGAAACCCGCCACACTTGAAAAATAGCGAAAGGAAGAAAAACGGAGAAGAGATGGTACAAGGAAGAAAAACGGAGAAGAGATGGTACAAAAGTTACACTTGAAAATAAAACAGTGGGCGCTCGACATTCCCAGGCAGCTAGCCATATTTACAACACCGACACACCAACAGACGCAGGGGAAGCAAACGGCCGTTTCTTTCACGACACACATACATACACGCAGGGGAAAAAATAAACTCATGCGCAGCACCCAGCGTAAATGCGCACGCAGCACGGGGGAAAGGAGGGAGAGCTCACCGTTTTGGGGCGTGCCCTTCGTTGACCAGCTCTGCACCAACGAGCTCGATCCGCTTCCGCCCCCATCCGCATCCGGCCTGTCCCCTCCGTCGCGCTGCTGCTGCTGCCAGTCACCCCCGTGCGGCAACAGAGGCTGCGTCGCGGTGGTCCTCCCGCCGTGGGTCACCTTCCCCTCCCCGGCCCTGCTGCCCTTCATTCCCCGGCTCCCGTGGCCCCCGGGCCCCCAGCCGGCGCCGCCGTCCTCTCCACCGTCGCTACCGCCGCCGCCGTGCTCGCCGAGGGCCACCGCGTACACCTGGTCGTTCTCGAGAATCCCCACCGCGGCGGTGCCTCCGCTCCCATTGCCGACGACCGGCGCTCCGGTGCCGGCGGATTGCGATAGCGGTATCTGCTGCATGGGGAGGTACGTGTGGACGGACCCTTCCTCCAGCGACACCCGGAACACGCTGGCCACGTGGGCCGTCAGCGGCACGTCCCACTCGGGGGGGTCAGCAGAAATCCCTCCGACACGGTTGTCGTTGCCTCCCTTACCCGCCGCCACCGATTGAAGTGAGCCGTCTGCGGTGGCGGTGAGCGAGGGCACCGGCTCGGAGAGAGCGGCGGCGGTGGAAGCGGCGGCGGCGGACCTGGCGGCCTCCGCACGGGTCCTGCTGTTCCCGGCCCCAGACGAGGCCGTCAGGTACAGGTCGTCGAGGGACACGAACTCCCCGATGGTGAGGTTCCATTCCTCCTGGCCAGTCGGCACGTCGAACGCGCGGATCGTGTAGTCGTTGCGGCCGATCCAGATGACGTCGTCGTCGCTGCCGCTCCGCGCCAGCAGCCGGCGGTTGCTCTCCAGGCTGTCCGCCGTGTCCCCGGACAGGACCTGGCGGACCTCGCCGGTGCGCGCGTCGACGCCGAAGATCCGGGAAACCTTGGAGCCCGTGTAGAATACCCCCTTCGGATCGAGGAACGGCGTCTGCTCCACGAGGAGCCGGGCCTTGAGGCCCGGCCGCCGGAGGCCCTGGGTCGTGTGCACCAGTATGGATCCGTCCAGGGTGGGGATGAGCCACTTCTTCTCGTCGAGAGTCCCGGGCAGCTGCTGGTAGGACTTCACCAGCGGCTCTCCCGTGTCGAAGGACCACCTCAGGCCCCCCGTGGACGGGTCCAGGGCATGCACCTGCCCGTCGACAGTCCCGGCAACCAAGAGGGCTGACCGTTGCTGTTGCTGTTGCTGTTGCCGCCGCTGCTGCTGCTGCTGCTCCCCGACTAGGGCGAGAGCGTTGTTATCCCCAAGTGGCGGAGGTTGTTCGAAGAGCAAGGCCTCGATCTCGGAGGACAGGAGCACGGACGACGCGGCAGCATCGTCGCCTTGGTTCTCTCCACCCGCTGCCGCGGCCGAGGGGAAGGATGACTTGGTGGTGCGTGGGGGCTTCTTTCGGGACGCGGCGGCTGCCGCGGAGGGGCCCTTGTTTCGTACCGATGATGAGGTGGCTGGCGCCTCCGCCTCCTGCTGCACCAGACTAACGGGTCGCGGCGCGACGCGCGGGGTGGTGGTGACCAGCAGGGCGAAGAGTAGCAGGAGGGAAGCGGCCCCGGTCTTCCCGCGCTGTTGCCGTTGCATCACGCACACTGCCGCTCCCGGCTGTTACCACCGACGCAGCAACCGTTCAGCCTGCTGCTGATCCTGCGCAGTTATATCCGCTGCTGCTGCTGTTCTTGTTCTCTCTTCCGTGTGGAGCGGCACCTCTATCCGCGCCTTTGGCCGCTACACGTGTTTGGCAGCAGCCTCTCGGCAATATCTGACGACCCTCGGCAAGTATGTTGGCATGACCGGGCAAAGAGAGCTTGGTGTGCGGTGGCGTGCCTTGGAGCTTACACTTGTCGCAGCGAGCCGTGGCGTAGCTACAGCAGTTAGCTTGGGGGGTCGGCAGATGTACCTGCAATTCAAGGGGAGGCGCCGACGAAGCCTTCCGAGATTGGAAATCGAATCGTATCGGAGATCGTGTGAAACGAAACGATTAATAAACTTCGCCAGGTAGCTCCGACTGGCTGCTGGCTGCACTACTCTGTGCAGTGAAGTCATAGCAGCAGCACCATCTCATAGAGTTGTAGCCCCCCTCGGAAGATCTAGGGTTGATGATCGTTCGATGGTCGTATCAATCCCACACGACAACAACAGCAGTGAAGAGTTTTTTTGCGGATCAGACGATGGCTCTCCTCGAAGATGACGATGATGATATGTATCTTTTCCAACGCCACCATATGTGATGTGGGGCGGGGGGCAACTCTAGCGATGGTGACAGGTTCGTATTCTTTGTGGGTACATAGACCTGCGTTGGAGCTGATAACAACGAGCCTCGCGGCACAGGAAATGGTCTAATGTGAAACCAGTTTGTTTGGTAGGTGTAGACTTACACTCTCTGTGGATTTTTAGTCTGGGGAAGAACCTTCGTCACACATGCAATATATATACATATATTAGTCTATGTTGTGAACTCTCGTGCAGTCTACAGTACATGTAAGTCGAAAGGATCCACGTGAAAGATGCAGTTATGTAGTCCATTTCGTATCTGTCCGATCGAGCGAGAGATAAAAACTACCATATGCTCCAAGTGATGACGCCTCTCTTCGGCATCAATTATGCACCACCAGCAGCCTCGTCACAAACTTCGTTATTTTATTTATTTTCTGCTGACGGCGACGGCGACGGACGGGCGCCGTTCGTTGCATTGTACGGCAAAAGTACATAACACATGGCCTATACTGTACTGCCACACGATCATTGCCTTCGAACCGTTCAGATGCCGCTCAGAAAAGAACTTGTAGAATGTGTCAATCAGCGCACTTTTATTTAGTACAAAAAACAAACCAGATCTGATCTATTTTCGCAGCATACATGGAGGACCCACACCTCCTCTCTGTTTCTCGCTCCGCCATGCCTTCGACCATAACAAAACCCTCTGAAGTACCGCAACAACACCTGTCTGTCTAACCACACGCACGCAAACCTGTCTCGGTTGTATGACATCCCAAAGGGGCAGACAGGGTGGAGGGGTATCTCGTACCACCGTACGAGGTGTACAACCTATAGTCTACGCTACATAAAATAAACACCGCACCTCAGTTGACTCCACGCAAAAGATGTTAGTGTCTTAGTATCATCGGCGAAACAAGATCCAGTCGTACTACTGCCTGCCTGAAAGACGACAAGGTGATCGCTACACTTTCCCGCATGTTCCCCGTCCCTCCCATCCCTTGAATTCTTCGTCTTCCTCAACAAATTACGAGTACATCACAGCAGTATGTTGGGAACCCTCTACTTCAAGTGGAGCTAACAGGACTCCCAGGAATTCGAAACATCATCTTGCAGCAGCGCAATGAAGAAGAGCCCACCTACCAGATTTTCAAACCCTCCGGTGACGAGCAGTACCAACTACTGCCACAAACACAATGTTTTTCGCTTATTTGTGCTGCTTGGTACCAAGGAGAGCAGTCCGCGGCCGACCGAACGCATCCCATGGTGCGTCTCCGTTTTCGTTCTGCATGTCGGAGCGCATCCTTTTGAGTTTGTCTTCCAAGCCGGCCATCGGTGACAAGTGGTGCGGCAGGGCAACCTTGTGGCGTTGTGTCGGCGCGAAGGGGTACAAGGAGAGAGGGGGGTGAGGAAGATTAGAACGATTTAGTATGTGTTCACGCTCTCAGTATGCTCATCTTTCTTTCATTTTTCTATTAACTTTTTGCACCTCGCTCTCGGAGTCGCTACATTAGCCAGGATTGTTGCATAACTAACTTTGGCCCAGTTGGGTGAACGGGGATAGCTCGCTTTATCAGTTTGCATGCACAACATTGATAAATGTTGTGGTGTGTGGGAAGGGAAAGTCCGACATTCTGTCGTTGGTGGCGTCGTTGTCGTGCTGTGTCCTTTGCCGTCCCAATCAGCCGAACGTAGCCGAACGTAGTTGGCCTCTTCATCCTTGTGCCAGGAGATCATGAGCATCTCTGCTGCCCGCAGCACCACCGCGTACCACGACACCCCTAACTGCACGTTCGCTGTGACAGTCCGCATGGCGCCAGGAACACCAAACGTTCGTCGATTTCCTTCCGAACATTCGTCTGTTTTCTGAACGCTTGGAAGTCGCCTCTCGGGCGTTTTGCTCCGGGCACCCCGTGCCTGGATCCTCCCCCTCCAAGAGATTCCCAAACCTCATTCGCTTCGGGAGTCGCCCACCCGGTTGTCTGGCGAAGGCTCCCTCGAACAGCAGTCGCCATAGTCGGGCAGTACTCCCAGCGCTTGGTTACCCGACCTTCTGATGAGTCTGCGCGTACGAGAGTTGCCGGAATGTATCACGCGCGCGGCAGTACCCTTCAACGCGCAGGAGTAGCCAGTGGTTTGTCCTCCTCAGCATGTGGTAGCGGTCGCGGCACGGAGCCCACCCCATGCATCCATGCAGTGGAACCTCCATCGCCGCCGCTTTCAGGAGACGGACCGTGAGCCTTCACGGAGTGCTGTCTGCATGCCGTAAGAATGTTCTCATGCACGCCCCATGCTGCTCTGCTCCGGTCCGGTGGTTTGATCTCCTGCGTAAGCTCGCCATCTCCATTGACACGGCCTCTTGTGTAACGGAAACAACTATGCAGCCTGGGCGTGTTTTTCTGTCAAGCTGCTATGTACCATGACCAGTGGCGGGGGCGTTGGTGGTGATGGCAGCGCTGATTCCCCGTCCTTCGGCTGCTCCGCTTTTTTTCTCCGGTACCCGCACCAGGAGAGTCTTTGTAGTATTCTCCGATACTGCTGTCAGGCAAAAGGTCGTTTTCCTCGCCAACTCTTGAGATGATGATCTCGACACGCACTGATAATCTAAGAGCCGAATTCGCATTAACTTGACCGCTCCCGCCCCCCCCTCGACTCTCGAGACCTTTTTCGCTTGCCATACTCTCCACATGTCGGGGGTTTCGATGTCTACCACTGGCATTGCGTGCCTCGGATACACCTCCTTACATCTTAGCACCTGGAAATCCCGAGGACCCTTGGTGTCCTCTCGCTATCCTTCTACACGATCTCAGCGTTCGTTGTTTCCGTTTCACACAGGCACAGACGAGGGTTATCTACTTGCACATACACACCTTGGTGTTGGTCAGCGCTTTGGCGGCCGCGTGGTGACGTTCATTGCCTATCACTGGCCCAGACTTGGCCCCGGCGGACGCTGAGGCTTGAGAGACGCCCGGGGGGTCACCACTGTTATCCTTGCTCCCGGTCTCGAGGCCTGCCGACGACGCGTCGCGAGAAAGCCACTCAAAGACAAGAAGCCAAAACGTTGATGGTCCTTGCTAGTGTGGCTTCACACACGTGGTTTGTTCAGCATTTGTGGACGGGACTGCAAAGAACAAGTGTACCTTTGTCGAAGCTGCGCGAGCTCGCAGGTTGGGTTGGCTTCCAAGAAGAAAATCGTGAAAGGCGCGCACGAGAGTCTCCAACCACGTCAACAAGTGTCCGCGGGCGTCTGATCCGTTACGGCAAGTCGCTACTAACACCCCCGTCTTCGAATGACCAGCGTGTTGCATGCGTGTTCTGTCAGGCCCCTAATTTTAGCCGCGACCCATGAGGGCACATGGATTTTCAAGTGAGGGTAACAAGATCGCCACGCTTCGTCGGTCACAACGTTGGATGAGGACACGGTTTGTTGTCTACGGTGACCTGCTGCTTGATCCATTTCGCGAGGGAAACGGATACGTGTCGAACTACCACTGTCCCTCTAAAATATCTCCGTCGATGAAGCGGCTCGTTGCTTGTCTCGACGCTTCAATTGCTCAGCTGAAACAGTTAGGTTGTCTGTCAGGAAAACGTTGTGCCGCAAGGGGTATCATCACACCGGCACCGGTTCCTTGCTGGAGAAGTAGGGGGAGAGGTCATCTTTGGTTTGCAGAACACCCCAACGTCTGTCGGAGGTGTATTACATCATGATACATACGTCTTCCATTGGGCAGAGCCTCGAGGCTACAACCCTTCATGGTTTAGAAAACAAAAGGATCATGCGTCCTTGATTTGGAATAAATTTTATCCAAACTGCCTCCAAAATACAAGACCTTGCGCTAACACAGTTGTTGAAATTCCGGTTAAACGAGCCCTACAGAAGACCTTGAAATAGTACAGACCCCGAACCCCATGCAGAAAAAAACGCATATTTGTGGTTGCGCATGCTGCAAGTCAGACGAAGCGAAACCCACCGTTGGTACGCCCGCGAATCGCGCCTGTTTCCCATGGCCTCTTCAACTCGTGAACTCCACCTCCTCTGCTCGGCCTATCATCGTGATTGTTCCCATCTGCCCCAACCGCCCCGATCCCTCTCCCCACCCCCCCGCGGTCGCCCGCCCCCGAATGCTTCGGTTGAGCCTGTGCGCTACCCCCGCCGGTCGTACCTGAAATTGCTTTTTGGCGGTGCAACAAGAGACGGGGGGCGGAGAGGGTAGCACGCGATCGAACCAGGTTGGATGTATGTACCCCTCTCTCCTTCCCCCGCTTGGTTGTCGTTAAGTTCAACCGCTGACAGATTTGAAATGCACGCAAGTTGTTATCGGTGCTATTCAGTGGAAGCATACACCACGCTGAGCACAGGAACACATTATCCAGTATTGTCAAGATAAGACACTCTTGTTTCGCTTACCATTACTACAGGCATCCTTGAAAGCGCGCCCCTGGATCTCTTCGGTATGCGTCCATAGAGGCAACTCTAATTAACTTTCTCCGTTCCCAGACGGTGATCTCTGCTGCTAGGTCTAGGTTATCGCCCTTGCTCGGTCAAAAGCAGGGAAATCCACCGACACTTGACAATCACCACCCTATTCCTCAAGCCTCTCGCGTTTCGACATCACACCCACATCAGACCCCGGCCGCACACGACACACGAAGCGATTCGTGCGTGAATCGTAGGCGGCCAGCATACACCCTCATCAAACCGATCACTCTCTTTTTATTCGACACGTCAACACATCTATCTGACCACAATCGCACCTCCCGGAAACCCACCACCACTCCCTCCGATCGCGGGGTCTGCTCGGTCACCGCCCGCCCATCCAGCGCCCCTTGATCCCCCCTGCTCGTTGGCAGCACTTGCGGCGCCCCCCTCGATCATCATCGTGCTGGTCGCCTTGGCATGTTCCTCGCCCTCTTGCTGCCCCCCATCTAGCTCACTCCCCCCCGCCCGCGTCTCCGCGCTTTCTTTTTCTCCGGCCTGGTCTCGTTGTGGAACATTGGGCGATACGTTCGTCCGGTGCGTAAGGTAGAAAGGAAGTGGTTTACGGGAGCGGAGAGGGTAAGAAGGTGGTGTGTACGTGTGTGGAGATGGGTGGTAGGATGCGCGCCGGGGGAGGAAGAAACTGTGTTGTGCCAGACGAATTAGTGTACACCCAGATGAAAAGAGTTCGGAAACGCACGACAGGATTTTTTTGCCTAGAGTGGGAGGGGGATTCGTGTGTACCAGACACACAACACTAGAGACACAGGTCTTTTTCGGGTAGAGATCGACGGGCGCAGCATTGGAACGGGTACCACGGTCTCACCGGGTCTCGGTTGTTCTTCGTACCTTGATCATCTTTGCTTCCATTTCCTGCTGCAACGCCGCCGTGGTCTGCCACACGGACACCTTCCTGAGCTCCTCCCACCCCTCCGGTCCCTTTGTCATGGCGCGAATCTGGTAGCCCCGTCCTTTCGCTGAAACGTTCGGAAATCTTGGTCAAGGCGGACAAGGGAGGGAGTCGCGGTGAGAGGCATCCCTCCGAGACCCAAAGCGGCATCGTGGGTTGTCCGTTGGTAAAAATGACACCTCGTTCCCGCTACGTCGCCGCAGGTTTGCCACGCGCGTGGGGTACGCAGTAGTAGTCGGTGACACCTACCTGTGGAATGACATGAAGCTGACGTGTACACCAGAACATAAATGGAACTTGATTGGTGAACTGCAGTATATACCTGGAATCGAGCAATGGCTGCTCCTCGCCCCCCTCGCCGAGCACGATGTAGTAGGAGTCCTCAAACCAGATCCCGATCGTTACCACGCCCTGAGCGGAGTAAGACTTACTAGCGACCAGATCTACCCCTCGGAACTCCTCCTTTGTGGCTGTTGTCGCTGCCGTCTTGGGTAGTAGTTCGAGTCGGTGATCGGAGGCAACGAGGTGTGAGGGGGGGGGGACGGGGAAGGTCGAGGTCCATGTTTTTTCCAGACGGAAGGTGCGATGAAATTGTCATTCCTGATGGGGGCTGACTCATTGGACAGGATGCGAAGACATAGTGTTCGTCTTAAGAAAATGAATCGACAAGACGACGCAGCCTCATACATAGGATGGACACGGAGTCAGCCCACCGGTCAAATCGACAACAGTACGGTCGCTCTCTGCACGGAGCAAAAACATTTCGGAGTTGACCTACGCCTGTAGCCGGCGTCCTGGGGGGGAGAAGACAATCGTTCACACAGCGCAGGCGTCGTATAGGCCTTGATGGAGATCAAGGTTAAGTTTGGAGTCACAACACACAGCAGTGGAACATCGGAGGGCTCCACCGGACGATAGAAAAACGCACTTAGATTGACGCAGCTAGCGTGTGACGCGGCCAACCTATAGTCGGCGATAAATTCACCTGGAACTCGAAAAAGCTTTGCATACTGTCGCCGTCGAACCATGACGACACGCTGTCCTCCAGCCCCTGAGAAAGAAAACAAGATATAGTATGCACCGTCATGATTGTCCGGATTTGTGTTGTGTCTGTGTCCACCACGAGGTCGACCTAGCCCGTATATGACACATTTTAACGCTTTCGAAGCGTTGTCGAAAACTCGAGATAGGGTGTTTTAGTGCCGGCGGGAGAACTCGTTTGCCTGTCAACCTAGGCGTGCGCACGAAACGTGACGTTCTCTCCTTGCGGTCAGTGGTCAAAGGGTTGTAAACTCATCGTCTGCGTGCTGCACGAGGTGACGACTGGGGCAAGCACACGAGCAGGCGCTTGTGGATGGCCCTTCACGGACGAGTCCGCCCGCAGTCGCCCGCCCGCCCGCCCGTCCTACGTCCTGCTCTTCCGCATCCTATCGATCATGCCCTCCCCCCTGTGCCTGAACAATATCCCGCCTTGTTCCGTGTGAAGTGTCCAGCGTCTCACCATGTCCGAGAGCTTATCCAACAAATCGGTCAGCACTTCTTCGGAGGAGGCGACTTGCTCCTCCATGAGAGGCATCAATCGCTGCATGTGCTCCAACGGGGCCGCGAAAGGGGACTTGGATGGAACCTGCAACCCCTCAGAGAGGAAGTTCAAGCGCAGCAGAATCGGCGATAGCTGGAACGGAAAATACGCCCACGGTTCTCACGCAAGGCCGGCGTCATTGGCATTCTATGATGGAGGTGCAAACGTTGACGCATGCCTGAGCGGCACCTGATTCGCATGCCATAGTCATCGAATGTTGTTGCATGACGTGACAAAAAATGACGAGACGAAAACTACATGCATCGCCGGAATGTGGCGGAGTGGCCGGTCGGACTACATGGTGAACGTAGCAGATGCGCTGTGGGAATGCACTGTTTCGCCCGCTGGCTAGCGCGTTAAAGCGCGGCTTTCTGACTGGTCGCCCCGCTCGGTGCCCCAGGCGACAATCTCGTAAACGGTCGAACGGCTAGGTCGTACGTTCGAGTCTCAGCAAGACTTGGGTTTTCTCCATTTCGTACCTTGTCGTGGTAGGCAAGAAAGGGTTTGTTCGAGAGGACATCTGAGGGGCGAAACTGCTGCACCTTCTCGCGTTACAATTCAAGGCGTGCGCCTCAAAGGACCATACTCCTCCTATTCCCAGATCGGAGCTGTTACAGAAGAAAATACCGCGGGTAGGTTGAAATTTTTTGTACAAGAAGGTGATACAATAGAGGGCGACAGAAAAATTATGATGTGAAACCTCCAACAACCAAGCGAGATCGAATGGGTGAGACCGTTGCAGCACTCTTCCGCTCACTTGTGCGACGTCACACATGAAATCCAATTTGCTCTGCTGCATGCGCAAGGCCGGGATGACGTGGGGGATGTCCATGAGCGCCAGGGTAGGAGTCAGCTGCACAGTTCCACTGTAGCACCAGCTCCCAAACCTTGCGCGCATGTCGGTGGGTAGGTTCCGCGATGAACGATTTCGGTGGCCAGAGAACTACCAAGGAACTTTGGCACGCACGAAAAGAACGTATCAATGATCCGTCTATCCCAAACGGAGCTCGCATGGTGCGAATCACCGGCAATTTATACGTTTGCGTCAGGTGTGTGAACTTTGATACAAAAAAGTTTCTGATACATGGCATAGTGAAAACTTTCGGTTGCAGGCGGTGCATGGGCCTCCCGGCCATGGACGGCCCTTTTTCTCCAGCCTTACACTTCTGATTTTTCCAGCCCCACCCACCCTACGGTCATCGAGTGACCCTGTACGCATCTCACATGCCCGAAACACAACGACAACCAAACATTACGCGTGTTCCGCGGGGTACACGTCGTGTCGCCCTGTGCGAAGAGTATGTTTTACCTGAACAGGACGTCGCGGTAAGCGTTGTTGGTGCCGAATTCTTCCGTTCCCGTAGGCTTCATGATCACGTACGTCTGCAAGTAGGTTGTGGAAGTGAGATTGGTTGTCGGTGGCCTCCCCAAAGACCGGGAGCTTCCGTTAGCTGCCGCCTCCGCTGCCTCCATTGCCTGGGTCGCAGCGGCTGGTCGGTCGATAAAACGATGATTTGGAGAGCCCGGCAAGTTCGATTCTTCCTTTATCGAGTAGAAGCAAGGCGAGGATGGGTTGGATAGCTGCCAAAATGTGCCATAAACCGTGCCAGCTTTTTTTTTGGGAAGCCGCGAGAAAATTGAATGCTTCTGATGAATGAGTTTGCCGGGAAGACGCCGATCGGACGAGGAGGGAAGGGGTTTGAAGAATAGGCGGAATCTTGTCGAGACCAAAAGCACGTACTTTAAGGCTTGCGGGTTGTTGAGGTGCTAAGGTTGACCACCTGGACGACGGAGGTAAGCAATACATTCGGAGTTGTCATTGTTCAAGCAAACATTGCTCGACGAAGAGTACAGGTGTGCGAAACTACCCTGCGAACACCCAACAACCTAAAACTCCAGTGCGACGCCCAATTTCATCGCGAAGCCTTCAAATTCACTATTTCTCAGTGTCTTTGGTATCGGTGCGGTCGAAGCTTGTGGGGAATAATCTTATGCTACTCACAAGGTTTAATGGCGTGCCAGAGGGTCAATTTCCGCCACGGGCGTCGGAGGTCGTCGTAAGACATGAGGTGCAGCCCTTGCCCATGCGAGGAGACATCCGGGAATCGGATATCCAAGAGTGCCTGGTCGTTGGACACGCGTGTAATACATCACGATCGGTGACATGGACGGTGAGGGGAGAGCGAGGCCTCAAATCTAAATAGGTGTTTCTTTCACAGTCCTGCACCAGAGCACACTCAACACACGTTGCTCCTCCAAAAGTGTGTGTGATCCTCTATTGCCTTTTTTCACGTCGAGTTTATTATTGTGCGAACACCAAGGGCAGCATTGGCTTACTGGCCCTCCGGGTCTAACGTGGTCTATATAATAGCGTCGTTCTGTGTATCCTGTCCGCGTCCCAACATTGGCAGTTCAAGAAGGTGACACGCAAAATTCTGATAATTTTCGCTCCTCGTTTAGCTGGCGGAAAGGTACGGGTGCACACTCTGGCCACGGCACCAACAGGCTAAGGCTAGGAAAAAAACATTACCTGGTCACCCTCGCCTTCCTGCATGACGACGTAAAATGACCCCTCCTGGTAGACAGTGATGAACACCAGCCCGCGAGCGTACGTCTTGCACGCTACCAACGCAATCCTTGGTTGCCAGGAAATAAGGGGTAGCGTCGGTTGGGGCGAATCCGGGAGGGAGGAAAAAGGAAGGTCTATTGTACCCCTGCCAAAATACTTTCAGTCCATCGCGATACTGTCGCGCTGTCTGGAACAAAAAAACGTTTCGGCATGTTCTCCGTGGGTCCCAAAACCCTCGAGATTTTTCCCAGTAGCACAGGGGCTGAAGAAAAAAAGGAGGTTTGCTTGCATTATTACATAGTAGCGTTTGACGTGCGGTCATCTATCTATATCTCTTGTTTGACAGTATTCTCAAGTTAAAGCATCTCCGGACTCACTCGTCCATGCAAGCAGGAAGCTCGGCTTGTAGCTCGAAGTATGTCGAGCAGGACGAATCGTCGTTAATCCAGTGAAATGCGCCACTCCACTTGGTAAGCTCTTGGGTTGTTCTCGAAGATGCCAACTCTTGAGCGACGAATTCTTGCACCTCCGCGAGGATTACTACGGGTTGTCGGTAGACGGAATCCACCGGCACCCTACCAAAGAGGCGTTTTGTTTGTTTGTTTGGGGTGTGATGATGTATTTTCGTTCGAAGCCAAGGTGGGCAGAAAGGAGCTGGGTGATCAACGCGAACTGGTCATCATCTGAATTGAATTGATTGACGAATAGTTTTGGCGAATGCATTTTTTCCGTTCACGCACCTGTCGGCACAACAGAAGAACTTCAGCCGATCTTGCTGCCGCTGCAACATCGGTACCGCGCGCGGGATGTCCTTGAGTGTAATGACTTCTCCGTCACCGAGCCCCGCAAAACTTACCTCTCCAGTGTAGCACCAATTGCCGCACCGAAACATTACCTGTAGACATGCACGAGTGAAGAAATATGCATACGATAAATTACCAGTTGTCCACGGCTTGGCACCCTAGACTAATTGTTCGTATCTTGGATGGGTCTACAGCAGTACTGTAGTCTATCCTCGTTGCTCTTTGTCAGCAAAAGATGCATTCGGCCAGAAGGACACGCCGTGTGAGAACCCGCTGTGCACATAAAGTACACGTAGCCTATCCCTACAAAATACAGCAGTAGAGTCCTGCCTACACGCTTACATGTACGAAGCCCAACCATTACTACAGCAGTAGAAGAAACCTAGACTACTGTACAGCAGTACCACCTGCAGTACACATCGTCAAAGTAGCATTCGCACACCGGTGCGTCATGCAAGTATATTTTTACCCGCCCATTTGTGACAGGTGATCCACCTACTGCACCGTCGGGCCCTTTGCATGGAGGATAGGAAGCTCCAGCTCTGTGTGCACACTACATGACTTCTGTACAACCTAAACATGGCCACAACCAACATTGAAACATGGTATCGGGTATCGGGCTATGTTGAACTTTCGACGTGGCACGTGCGCAGTGAAGGTGAGTTTTCTACAATCATCACAATCAGGTGTAGACTACAGACCTCAGATCCTGCCGTCGCAACCAATCTTCTAGTGCTTTACTAGGTGCACGGCACGAGAGTAGTTACCTGTCGATTCCTTCCGTGGTCCCTCTGAGGGTCCTGCTTCCGGACAACATACGTTTGGCTATACCCGCTCAGCAACGGAGGCGCATCGCCCAATTCGGGAGGACTCAAGTCGACGTCCCCCAATTCTTTCGCACCACGGTCTCCTACGCTGAGATCTGTCGAAGAAAGGTCGTCTTCGCTAGCACTATCGCTAGCAGCACCTAAGGATGCGCCATCGTCGCAGCTCATGATCCGGGACTTTGCCCACGCGTCTTGTACTTTGCGCACTTGGGACCCGACGGTTGCGAGTGTGTGTCGGCGAGGTCGACGTCGGCACGACGACCGTTACACGGCGAACGCCTTCAGAACTTTTTGGAACTTCTCGGAATTGAAAATCATAGTCCATTCATTCTCGGTAGTCTACGCGGGCATTTTAAATATTATATGAAACAAAGACTAGAAATCGTAATCATCTGGGGGCTTGTCATTGGTCCACAGCACGCGGGCAGAACCACGCGGGCAGAACGGTTCCAAATCCGTATACCCGCGCACCGCCCCTCGCGCACCACAGACCACAGCACGCGGGCAGAGCATTCCGCCGCTGATAACCGCGCGCACCAGCGCACCAGACCGCACGGACCGCCATGAGCGAGCGACCACCGCGTCCACCTGCGGGTCGTGCAGGTCTCCTTCCCGGAGCCCTGTCCGTGGCCACAGCAACCGGAACCACAGCTGGTGCTGCAGCAGCAGCATCCGGAGCATCACGGCCTCATCAAACAACGCCTACCCCAGTTGAACCAGCTCCAACGCCTCCAGTACCATCATTGCGAACTGTCCCGCCAACGGTACAGCGTCCACTGGTACGGATTCTTCCACGCCCAGGCCCTGCCGGCCGCGGGCTACCTGCCTCTCCGGCAGCAGGACGTGGTCGGTCCGATGCACGTTCTGCGTCGCAGCGGCAGGTAGCCCGCGGCGCAGCCGACCGTGGAGGCCAGGGCCGTGCACCATCGGCAGGGCACCCGGAGGAGCCAGGGCACGTGGAGACGGGGAAGAGACCGTACAACAACTTCAACCAGCAGTGTGCGATGTGCAACTTACCGGAGGCGAGGTCAGACAAAAGATTCAAGCTGTGCCAGGATAACCGTAACTGCGGAAGATGGGTCCACAAATCGAGAGACCGAGCGTGCTTCTCCGTCTTCAATCTCTCCGCACCCGTAGACGCAAGGTGCTGCAAGCACCACAAGGGCTTGAAGAGCGCATGTGGCTGTAACAGGTGATTACCATCCTCAGAGACACTGCTGTTGGTGTAACCGATTTGAACAGAGGACAATTGATCAGGATTAAACTCGAAACAGCCGGCACCAACGGTGCTTTTCATTACAGCAGAGCTCCCAGAGCTCCCAGAGCTCTGCCGCGGCTCTGTGCGGCGCTCTGTTTGTTGTTATTTGCCAAGCGTATGCTCGAGAGAGTCGCCAGATAGGGGTTAAAAAATCGCCTGTGTACATGAACTTGGTATGTACACATGTGTATGAGCACATCGTTCGTGGTGATGTTTTGTGTTAAAGTGTCTTGGCGCAATTCTGGGTGACATCAACCATTTCGGCGGAACCTTCTCGCGGATGTATACGGCGATTATGGAAGCAAGCAAGGCCCTATTTTGCTATGTATTCTTCAGAAAAGAAGACAGAAAACTCTGCTCGTCGATTTGCTTTGAATTTGTGAGAGCAGACCGTACCGTTGCGTGTACCTCCGCTTTGTCCTAACCCTCGTCCTCACCGTCGCCACGCCTTTGTTTTTTTCCCCGCCGGACGGGTCCAGCTGTAACGCCAGCAGGCGCAAGCTTGTCCAGGCAGGATCTCGAGGCGGGGGTGGGGGGGGGCGTGGACGCGTGGGACGAGGGAGTGGGCAAGGACGAGGACACGGAGGTCGGAGTGGGCAAGGACGGGGGCGCGGCATTGGTGGGCCGCCGCCGCCGCCGCGGGGGAAAGTGTACCAGTTGCCGTGGCGCACCGGCGACGAGAGCACGACATTTGCGGTTCGAGCCGGGAATGCTGGAGTTTATGTTGCAACCTGTGTGAACCGGCAACGCAGAACCTCCAGCTGCTCGAGGACAGAATGTCAAGGGTGAGACAAAGGATCGTGCTGTTCGACCCTGGAACCTTGTTTCCTGCCCCAGCGTGTTTCGCTGCTAATCGTTGAAATAATGCGTTGGGCTTGTAGAGACACGTGGTGCCATCTTCAGAACGCAGACTTTGTGTGGCCTGGTATGAAGTATGGATTCTAAACTACCGTCGACATCCAACTCATTTTCGTCAAAGGCGGATCAATATTATTGCCGACAGCGCCTTTCACCACCTGTGCATGCCACGTCGGTTCTCGTTTACTTCGAAGGGCAACGGCGGGTTTCGTATCACAACAACAAACGGTGGGGAGTCACGGCGGAGTGGCCAGCGCTGTCGGAGGCCTGTGCCAGCACGCCGCCTTGGCACTAGAGCATATGGCGGCGAATACGATGAAGAGAGCAACCAGCGTGCTAGGTGGGGTCTCAAGTAGAGACTACGCCGCAGCGAAGGAGCTTGTGACAGCAGCGAAGTTGGGTAGTCACTTGACGGCCGAAGAATGCAACGACGTCATGTCCATAGTGGAAGGAGCAGAGCGTAGTGGGGTGTGGCCGGTCGTGGAGACGGAACGCCACCAGTATATGGTTCTCGACATGCGGAGTCGAACGACGGAGCTCGACTGGGGTTCTGTCAAGTTCGACCAAGTTTCAGAAGGGGAGGCGTCTCGGAGGATGACATCTTCGAGGCACTTCATGTGCAAGGTAAGGGCTACGAGAATATGCAAGTGCGTGCAGGTGTTGTGTAACTTATCTTAGCCATCGAACGCCGGCGAAACGATGTGTGGTGTACAACATGGGTTATGTCTAATCAGGCTCGGTGGGTGAGCAACTACTGTCATTGGTGTTGGATATCAATGAAGACAAATGTAAAACACGGCAGGGCTGCCCTAGTTTTGGAGAAGTTCTGCGAGTTCTCCGCGAGTTCTGCGATTGTGTCAGCAGGATGCCAGAAACACATCTCGCCCTTCCCTTTGATGAACATGTAAAACGGTACTGCTGTGGCACGAGGTCTTGCTGGCGACCCTGTTTGCAATTTCCTGTAGTATTTGCACGGGTCGGGGCTGAGGTACTTCGTCCCAACACAAACGTCTTGCATGGAAGGCCGCAGACCAAAGATCGATTACTTATTTTTCTCGGTGATTCCGTCATGCACCCTCCCCGCCCAGGCCGTGAAGGGAGAGGCCTGCACGGAAAACAAGAACAAGAAACGCGCAAGGTGCGCGCACACCCTGGTCGTTGCTGTCTTTTCCCGCATTGGGTTGGATTCGACGGCGTCGAGTACCGGAGAGGGCGGAGCAGCAGCGGGTGCTTCTTCGGGTGGCTCTGCGTTGCCGCGTACTCCACAGGTGTTTCTCGACAGCGACGCTGAATCATACTGCTCAAAACTGGCGGACATGCTTACCTACATGCGGCGGTTAGCTCTTCCACCTACCGCTCCGTCCGGACTTGCCCGACTCTCTGAGACACCGGCGAGAAGGTTGGTGGTCTCTCAAACGAAGTGCACCTGCGGGGGTGAGCTCCTTCCCGAGGCCGACGTCAATGCGACGCTTGTGACAGAGGTGAGGCGTGGATTTGGCCTCTGTTGTTGCTCTGGTTTCTTGAAAGTTGTGTCATGAGCGCTTACGTGCTGAATCTGAGATGGTCGATTGCGGGTGCTCGATCTCGAAACTGATGCATTGTTGAAAATAGGCTAAGGGTGAAGGCGTCGTGGTAGTGATATTTTCCCAGGACGCTATCGTATCAGTCGGAGAACTTTGCCATTGGGCCAATGTCACAACAGGGTTACCCTGGTAGAGCCGCGACACATTAAGCGGGCGTAGCTGATTGGCCAGGTCACTTTTCACCCTGATTCGGTCGAAAACCCCCAGAGTACAGTAACCTGCTGCGTCGTTCTTTGCAAATTGTACCCTGATTTTCGGGCCCTTTATCCTGATCAGGGGGGAAACCGCAGGAAATTAAAACTCCTCCAACTCTTCCTACGAAAGGTTCGGCTCAAGTCTGACTGTATTTTCCCTAAACACCCTACCCGTGACCCCAAATCGTGACCGACCATCCATCGGGGGGGCCTAGGGAATGCTCTTGATGACAGGGCGTTGGAGACGTGTTACACTGGAGGGCAGGGGTACGGCTAGGCCGCGGCGCCGCGGCGTGCGCGCGCTCTCACCCTTTGCTCGCACCTTTTACAGTCCCATCATACTCCACAGAACACCACGCCCATGCGCCAAACAAAATGTTGACCGTGTGTGTCGTGGTTCGACCGGGGTATACCCTGTTCTGTCTGTCGTTTGCCCAATGTAATTCCTCCCTGAACGACGTCACCCTTTGTCCTGTCAACGGACCACGTGATGCATCGCAGGCGCCGCGAATCGTGAGCGTGCAGGTAGAGCGCCGGAAGTGCGGCGCATGTGGGGCGTGCGCGTGGGCAAGCGACAACTGGCGGAAGACGTCCGTGTTCAACTACAACAACTACTTTCTGGTGGAGCTCTCCCTTCTGTACAAGTGTCTCGGGCAGTTCATCAGAGGGACAACGATCCAGTCCTTTTTCTTCTCGCACTTGGAGCCTCTGACGACAAACATCGGTTGGCTGTCGGAAAACCCGGATCTCGCTGCGAGGTATGATGCTGTGTGGGATTATTATGAGTGCCCTGTTCATGCGATACGCGTGTTAGACAACTGATTGTAACGTGGGAGCTTGCGGAGTTTGCAAAGTCGCCTTGGGACATGCGGTTTTAATACTTTTCAATGTCATGGCGTTGAGCTATTGCTCGGACCCATAGTAAACGGACGCAGGACTCCTCCTCTGACCGTCCCCATGGTCGAGGCAGGGAGGTGCACGGGAGGGAGGGGGGGTTCTGAACCCTTACCATTTTTGCAACAGATGGTATACACGGAAACAGTAGACGGTGAAAGTCACATTTCTACCTTTGTGAGGAAAAGGTCGGATGATTGCTTGCTTCATAGAGGTTCCAGCGTAATCGCTAGTGCGTATTCACAGCGAACCGCTACAGCTATAGTGGGGTGTAGACGTCTCCCATGTAGGAAGAATTCCTAGTACAGTATTGGAGTGTTTGACCGTACGGCCGCCCGAAGAAAGTCCGCGATAAAAGAATACACGGCCTGCTGCATATCGTGCCATTGAGACGAATTCTGTGTTGACTTTCATTTTGATGGAATATGAGTCGTCTGAAGGCGAGGTGGCGATACCATGTTGAACCAGCTTTGTTGAAACGGCATTTTCTGCCCTTCCCTCCGCTGTTGCGTGTGTCTTGCCAAACACAGTATCACTGATAAAGACTCCAGGTTCTTCGTTACGCTCACGAACGTATTCCTCGGCTTTTTAGCCGTCATCAACTTCTCGTTTGAGTTTCGGTGCTTTCAGTGGGGCTCGCACTCGGAGGTGTTTACCGTGGACGCTTGCGTGAAGATGTCGGTAAACACGCTGACCAAAGCGCTAGCGAACAAGACGAGACCCGAAACTACTCTCGACTTCGACATGTCGATGTTGTGCCTCAAGTTGAGTTTGGTGTCGGCGGTGTTTTTCACCGAGCGCGTTCAGTTCGTCTTGGGGGACCTGGAGGCCGTCGGCAGAACACCTGCCTGGGTGTCGCCCGACAATCGGCGTGCCGAGAGGGGGATCAAGACGGATCGCGCGGTGGTCCCGAAATCGGTGTACACGTTCGTGCCACCCAACCGTGCGGACCTCTTGGGGGCATTGGAGGAGAAAGGCGGGGGTATCAGCCTGGTCGACGAGATGCCGGCCGAGGACCTCAAGAAGCTGCACAAGGTCGTCTTCGGCACCTTGAGCCCGAGCGGGTGCGGCTGGTGTTCCCACGCGAGGCGGGCCCATACTCCCCACTGCCGTTAGGTTGAAGACTGCCATAGAGTCGGAGGGACCAGGTTACCCCTAACCTAGTTTTTATGTTGTACGAACCCCAGTCAGCCTCTTTCCGGGGCGTGCTAAACACTTACCCAATTGATGCTTCTCCCAACACATGTGTCTTGTCCTGTCCGTCGTCTGGCACTAAATTCGCAGTCGACATGAATGGAATACGTACATACGACTCGCCTCGCTGTTTTCTGGGAAGGCTTCTGATTTTCCGGTTACCCTGTTTCGCCTTGTTGATGCTCTTATATCTGTGGTCAAGGCTACCGAGGAAAGAGGACTACATCGCAAAATTTCGCGCGCTGTTCCATGACGGCGACTGCTCCAAGCAGTTCCTTGGCGGTCGAGGGGGGGTGGCGACCGCGGGTATGGTGTGCGCCTTCACCCCGGCAGGCGTTATGGTGGCGTGGAAGGTGCTGCCCACAGCCGAAAGTCCGAACGACGTAGTTGACTTCATGAGGTGGATGAAGGTGGGCAAATGATTTATATCATTCTTTTGCAAGAAGTTGTGAGAAAAGTTAAAGTTTGGGTGAAACTTTTGTCCGGGAACTCTTGTCAATGGAACTTTTGGTGCACGCTCGTTATGGGATGAAGAAAGTGCTGTGCACGGGACTAGCGGAATGCCGAGGTGTTGTTTTTTGTTTTAGCAACGACGAGAAGCAGGCACACGCCTTTCGCATCACACCGCGAAAAAAACGACCAGAGCGTGCGGGAGAGGGTAGTTGCAAAGCCTTCTTTATCCACACTCACGATACCCCAAGGCATCTATCCTCGTACCAGAAAGATGCTGGGTAGGGCTAGCTCCCTCGGGTGGCATTGCTGTTGCTGTTGTCTCCTCCTTCGAAAAGTTATCGCTGAAAAAGAAACCATGAGCTCATAATCCACGCGAACTTGAACCAACGGGTTTCTGACGTGTGTCAATCAATACTTTTTTCCCGACGCGCACGAAACCCTACAGCACCAAAACTTGGGCATAAAAGATGAAGCAGAGAGCTACCTCCCGCCGAGTGGCCTTGCTATTGCTGTTGCCTCCTCCTTCGGAAAGTTGTCGGTGGATAACCAAACCCGTGGCGGTCAAAACCCCCGATAGTGAACTAACCGCTCGCGGCCGCTGACGGTCGAGCACAGCACAAACGCTTTTCCCGGCGCATTCGGCACCTCACGGCGCCAAACTTGGCGTTGCCCAACAGCTCATGGTATCACCTCCTTCCAGATACAATTCATGAGGCATCTCGTTAAGTTCTCGTCGAGATGTCGATGATCACGGCCTTCCCACAATCGAAGCTGGAGAGGGTCTACGTGTGTGGTAGCGGTATAGCAGCTTGACGTGGATTGCCGGAAGCTGCGCCGTTCGTTTCAACTTTTGTTCGCCACCTTCGTCGCGAAGAAATTGCAGAACTTTTTCTCCAGATTGCAACTTTTTGCTCAAAACTTTTTGCGCAACCTTTTGCTCCCATACTGAGCGTACATGAGGAAAGTTGCAAGAAATGTCGCAAAAGTGTGAATTTCTTGCAACGTTCTGCAGCCATAAAGGGCGGTGTTATGGTCAGAATGTGAATGCTTCAGCGATACGTAAGCGAGGAAACTTGAGCATGTCTCAGAGCATGATCGATTTCATCGACACGCCTTGAGAACATTCATGGTTCATGTTGTAGTTTTTGAGCCACGGGGTCTGAAAATTTAGTAGCCATTCACTTCCGTGATTCTTGTTGCGGGAGTAAGTCGTGACCGCTCCCTCGAGGTCGCTCGTGTCACTATATAGGCTGCGTTTGTATAAAAAGGTTTGCATCTACAGGGATCGTTGGGTTGTACATCCCGAACCATGTCAGTAACCAATATTGAAGAAGTTATTGGTATGCATAATTAGAAGCAAACAACCCCGAGGACCATTGTGTGGCTCCGGGAGTGGACCTCTTCCGTCTTGCACAGTGCGAGCGTCCATATCAAACGTGCAGTGGTAGGATGGCCCGTAAAAATATCGTAAGGGTAGCAGGTGGTGTGCGGAGTGTCATTACTAACGCCGACTGATCGCATCTCCAATTAGGTCGCCTCTGAACGCCTTCTCCTTGGCAGGTGAAACCGTACCTCCTGTCGTACGACGCCGCGTGCAAGTTGGTGAAGGGGCTTGAAAAGTATTGCCCTGGGCTCCTGAAGGACAAGACCGGGGTGCTGCAGCGGGACGGCGAAGGGAATGTGGTGTTCCCCGAGCTGGCACACGTGGGGAACAACCGCAACAGTGCCACGCGGGATACAGCGGCTCGCACGTTTCAAGATCTCCCGAGGACCACCGACCGCGAGGACATGTACGCCGTCATCGAGACGGCGGGTCCGCGGCCCGGCCTCCAAAGCGAGGTTGACCCCGACGAAGCGCTGTTTTGGGCCGCGAAGTTTTCCAAGGTTGTCGGAGGGCGAAGCAAGCTAACAGCGACGAGAGCGCTTGATGCCCTGCACCGAGATGGGGTGCGTGTGCTGTCCCTCTTCGAAGTGCTCGTCTTCACCTACTACTGGCACCGAAAAGCAGCAGGAGACGCAGCGGGAGGGGCAGCGGGAGGGGCAGTGGGAGGGGCAGTGGGAGGGGCTGCGGGCGAAGCTGCGGGATGGGTTGTGCACGCGCCTTTGGGGGGCGACGAGGGCGGCGGCTTTCCCCACGCTGATGCAGCGGGTTTCCTACTGCGGGTGCTCGTGGGGTTATCGGGATCAAGGCAAGCGAGCAAAGTGTCCGCGTTACCATCGTGGCTCCATGCCACCTGCATCTCTGAGGGGGAACTGGAGACAGGATTGCGTAGATACGCCAAGGTGAGAAAATTGGATGCTGCATTCTGGCCGGCGGGTTCAACCGTTGAGTATCTCCCGCCCCTCGAGAGCAAGTATGCGCTCAAAAGTTGCCAGAATAATAAGCACTTGTTTGGTGCGTTGTCAGTAGTCCATTGACTGAGGCAAGCAGGCATTGAGCACACTCCGCCCTAGACGAAGTCGGAAAAGTCGCAGCTGAAGTGGCGTGAAGCAACAAAAAAAAAGCCTCCACTGTCCCGGCTTGTTTTGGTGGTCCGCTTTGGGTTTGATGTGCGAGATGAAACCCAACCTGTGTGCACTTACAACCCCGCTACATGCGCTTGGACAGCACGGCAGAGGCAAAAATTGAATAACACGCTGTTGCTTCATCCCGACTTGCTGACTGGCCCCTTCCCAACTTTAGAAAAGCTCTTTTAACCGGCACGGCCAAATCTGCTTCTGCATCGTTTGCACATGTGTTGACGCGACGCCATATCCCTGCGCCCGTTCTTGTCTGCAGGCCAAGGTGGACTTCGTCGTGGATTGCCTCAAGCCTTTGACTTCAGAAGCGAGAGAGAGAGCAGGTGCGCCGATGTGGTGATTTTGGTGAAGGTGCTAGCGGGCAGGAGGTATTCTTTTGCTGCCCAGCACCGCTCACCTTAGTACAATAGGTTGAACACGTGCGACGATACCCCTTTGAGTCGGAGCTCTCGCTGCTCGGTGTGCAGAGGTGGGTGACGTTCGGGTGCTCCATGCTTTCGGTGCACATCGTGTATCGGCGCATTGATGCTGTTCTCTGTTTGGTAGAGTTTTCGGGTATGCACTTACGAAGTGCACTGCACGAAAGTTGCTCGTATGACTTGCCTGTTGTCCAGTCGCCGCCTGGTGATGGGAGTCCACTCCTCTGGTATGGGTGGGTAGTATTGTTTTTTGAGCATCGACACGAGTAGGCGAAATTCTCTACGGCCGGCAGGTTGACTTCACGTTTCAAGGGCGGGGCCCGCCCTCTGCACAATTTGACGCCGGTGTTTCATGTTGGTATGCCTGCGTCCGTTTTCCGTGTTTTCGTGTTTTTTTGCAAGCGATCGCCGTGCGTGGAGGAATTGGATTTGGGCGGGGCGTTTACGCACTCAAAGAGCTGGAGCTCAGCCTGGCGCGGAACGCTGCACCGCACGCAACCACGACGGAGGAAGGCAAGGTGGTTGGCTACGATGCAATTTTCCACGACACGAGGTACAAAAACTTCGAGGGGGACCCGATCAAGAGGGAGATGCGCATCGGGCCTGATGGGCACCACGAGAACAACCACGGGCCGAATTGTAGGAAGCTGTACAGTGGCTTGACGACGTGTAAAGATATCGGTGGGGTTAATCTCACCCGCCACGAGTCCGACCATGGGGTTAAGGCCATGTACTTGCGGTCTATCAACAACATGACCTTTCCCAATTTCACGTACTCGCTCAGTGTCATCAACGAGCTTCAGAATAGGAAGTACAACAGGAAGCTACTAGGCGCCCTCTTGAGCAGAGTCGACGGCCACGCCTCAACCAGTCTGTCGGGGTGCCAGGCTGCACTCTGGACATGCGGCAGGTGTTTCTGCGACAAGCCGTTGGTGCGCGTGTTTGACTGCTTTGGGCGGCTTGACCTTGTTTTCCTCAGCTCCGTTTTAGCGCCTTGAGTTTTGTGAATCCTTACGGAAACACGTGATGCATTTGGGGGTCAAGGTCGGACCGGGCACGCGTTATGGTGCTACAGTGGGCGCAGGCTCAAAGAGGGATTGGTGTCCTGTGTGTGCATGGTTTATCCCGTTTTTCTTTTTTGGTCGTGTACTTACCCAGGTATGCAAACGTGTTTCGCCGAGGCGAGATAGGCTTGAAGGGTCTTCCGTTGTTTGGCTGTTTGTGACAAAGTACACGCCCTTTCGACCGAGGCAGCCCGAGACAAGAAGCTCCCATGCAACATGTGTGGAAAAGAAAAAATAAAGGACGATAGTGCCTCTGCGGAGTATGGACACACCAGGCGTGTTTTGCGCGGTAGGATTCGAGTTTCAACGCGCTGAGTTGAGAGGGTCCGGCTTGAGTAGAACACTGAAACTAGCACCTCGAGAAGAAAAAGGCGGCAGTGCCATTGTTGTTGATCAAAGGCGCTCACGCGCGAGAAAAGACACACACGTTGTGTTGAAGGACATGCAAACGCAAATGTCCTGCTGACAACTTGCTACTGTTCATGGTTTCATTTTCCGTCGATCGCCACGCTTCAGCCAGCGGCGTCGTGTGGTCCTTGTGCGCTAAACCATGTGAACGCTGCTTTTGGTCGCCAATGTAGGCCTTCGAGGCAACTTCATCCAAATGCTCGCAATCACCCTCCGGGGCCACCCCCGTCCCGAGGCCCAATATTCGCGTGAATGTTTCAGGACCATATTGCGCCGTTCTCAAACCACCCACGTCCTCTACACAAAACAGCAAGGCACACTCCTCTTTCTGTCGGAAGTTGCCTGCCTGCATCAGGAGCACAAGAATAGCATTACTCGACGACACAAGTATGGTGATGGCGAGCATTGCCTGTTCCAGAGGCGGCAAAGGCACGCCATCGGGCGTACTTTAAAACAAATAGAGACTGCACAGGCATTCTTGTTTGTTGTCGGGGGCGAAGGATGGGCACACGACGACACTCTGTCCCCGGTTTGAGTCGCTCACGAGTTGTCCAGGGCCCATGTGGAGCTTACCAACAAAAAAACTCCCGACTTGACCGGAGCTGTGAGCACTTTCTGGTGGTTTCGGCTCTGGTTCGGCTCACCCAGATTTGGACGGCCGGGGCTATAAATCCGAACCCACGGTTCTCGCACGAAGGCATGCCCAATTGACACCCACTCCCTTCTGCCAGGGTCAGTCAGCTTTGTATGTACATGCCATCCATGATCCTCATGGTTTTTGTGCGCTTTGTCGTGTTTTGGTGTGGTGAAACACCTCAAACAGGGCCGTGTACCCAGCCTTTCGGCCGCCAGGGTGAAGGGAACCGGCGACTTAAGAAGACGTTTGCGGTGTGCATGACTCACCACATGCTCCCGACCCATGCTGATAATCATGCACTGCATCCATGCACCATTTACGGCGTTCTGAATCACCGCTACGGCGCAACATCATCGAAATGCCCGCAAAGGTACCCTCACGCGCCATCCCCCACATTGTTACATATCGATATCCTTTTCTAGGCAAAACAACCATGTTGCACCCGTCTTAAATTTGTTCTTCTTGGTGGAAAAGAACGAAGTGCCCTTCTCTTATTGTTGGAATGTATCTGTGTGCATGCGTAGAAAACGCGACATGTTGTTTTAAAACGCCGAACATCCGCGCCAAAATTGCGCAGTGCTCCCGACCAGTGCCTGAGTAACGCTC